TTTTAAACTGTTTTAGCAGGTGAGTTTTGAAGAATATTTTTTAGGTATGCTGTGTGATCAGGAACACAAAACATATAGAGGGGGTTCCTCAATTCTGACTCAAAGGTGGAAATACACTTTCTTTAAGCATTCACAACACGCAGCTGAGAATACATCAGATGAAAAGTGGTTTTATCATTAAAGTGACACTAAACTCAGGGGTAAATCTTAAAAATGCATTCAAGTACCTTAACTATTAACAACAATGTACCTTGTTTGTGTATCACTCAGCTGTAGCTCCTCAAATCATCTCTGAATTCATGCTGACACTGTCCTTCCTTCTGGAGGGTGGCTACTTTTGTTCCCCATGGTCCTGTGTGTGTTGTAAAGTAGCCACCTCTCCAAGCTCACTCCCGTGATGGACTACAATCTTAACACAAATTAGTAAACTAAACATGAAAATGTAGTCCATTACAGGAGCGTGCTTGGAGCGGTGACTACTTCACAACACACAGGGACCATAAGTAGCCACCCTGCAGAAGGAAGGACAGTGTCAGCATGAATTCAGAGATGATTTGAGGATCTACAGCCGAGTGATAAATAAGCTACATTTCTGTTAGGGTACTCCTGTGTTTAGTATCACTTTAAAATGAGCATATTCATCAGGTGAAATTTTACACACAACCCCTACCGGGCAAAATGGATGCAACTGTTTGTAAGAGATCACCCTTAGGTAAGGTATTCTAAAACATAGTAATAAGCTTGGAGTGAAACATACCTAGCAAATTGATAACGCCTTCATTGTAGGCAGCAAACAACCGGATAGAATCCTTGAACAGAAGCATGAAGCCTGTATTTATAACACCATTTGTTAACTCATTTGGATTTGCCTTTAAAAGAAAAGAAAAATAAGGAATTCAGAACACATGAAAGTAAAACGGGAACAAAATGGGCCTCATATGTTAAAGTATATGAAAAGAAAATGATGGTGACCATCAACCACAAGAAAGGAGGTGGTTACATGAAGCAGAAGTAAACCGTGAAGTGTATGTAAACACACTACAACTACTTTTTGCATATGAGCATTAAATAGGACCCCAACAATAACTGCTCATAAATCTCATCATTTCACAAAAGATCAAATACCCCTTCTTTCCCTCTTATCTTGAGGACACGCCAGTGCAACTCCGCAGCTCACTGTCCAATAGTGGGGCAGAGATTAGTTTGACATACATGCTCCTCCCTGCTGGCCACTGGGCGGTACAGACTTTAGCTTTGAAATCTGCTGATTTTTTGCTTGATTACACTATCAGACTTGCTTGTGGAACAGATTGCATAGCTAATGTCTGCAACACCAAGTGGCTAGCAGGAAGCAACATGCACATCTAACAGTGATGCCGGGGATGTGTTCTTTCATGTTGTACTCAGAGTGCAGCATGGCTTCTGCAAAGCTGAATGGGGAGAAAGAGATTCAAGTGCCAACACCGATACAAATGCAGCATCGGCAATGTTGAGTTGTTGACCTGATGCAGGAAGTGAGTCCACAGCAGAATCAAGAGATACAAATATGCGACTGAGGTAGAGATTACAAATAGGAGATTTACAAATACGATAAGGAAACCTAATCTTTATTAAAATGGAGATGTTGTATTTTGCCCAGAATTCGATCTTATTTGGTAGCCATCTAGCTCGTTAATGCACTGTGAAATGTAAGCTGCCACCATGTTTTTTCGCATAAAATAGGTTTTTCATTTTTTAAATCCATTTTTGCATCTCGGTGCTGCTGATCTTCTCTAGCCTATTTCAACCAATTCCTGTCAACCTACACTCGCTCCTGTGTAAGTTGCACATCATTGCTCTGGCCCGGCTTCCTGATGGTAGCAATGATGAACTATGCCTGTGCAACATGTGAAAACAGGGCCACTTGCATTTTTCACTAAGGGGGAGGGTAACAGAAGAACAATTCAGGGACAGTAGTTAGTCCATAACAAGAAGTGCCTAAACAAAGACCTTCATGGCAGAATAACCAGGTATGCATTCAATGAAAGATGCAGATTCAGGCTACATTCACACTAGGTGCGATTAGATGCTTTTATAATGGTTCTCTAAACGCATATGTATGCACTTAATGATTTCCACTAGATCTAGTTCTTGGTTACATGTTTAGATGAAGCACTGAGATCTTGACGAATGCGGAATTAAGTTTTACTTGCTTATAAAAGGATATTACATCTGTGTATACATCAACCGGATATGTATAGATCATAGATCAACATGCATATAGGAAAAACTAGCATAAACTAGCTTTGCACTACAGCGCCATCTAGTGCTCAAAAGACAGTTACAGTATAGTAGCATATGCTGCTGCATTTCTAACACCCCCTCTCAACAGCATATGCATTGCTATATGGCATTTAGCTTCTCTCAAAGGAAACTGACGATCCTTTGGCAATGGCTTGGTGAATGCGTCTGCAGTTATTTCTTTGAATGTCGATGATGGCTTGTTCTTGAGTGTCCAGGATTTATTTTCTTGGAGCGATTTTATTTCTTCTTCTGCTGTGTGTCTCCATTGATTGGCTTTGCGTTTTGGTAATTTGTCTATGTCTTCCCACCATGTTGGTTAGAGTATGCGATTTACCTTAGCAGTATATGACAGCTTGCAGGGTGGTATTTCCTTTGTTGATCGATTGGATCTTCTAATTTCAGGTTGTTCAGCAGAATTTAACAAGGAATTTGAGTTATCCATTATGAGTTCCACCTCTTGTCCTGACTCCTGTGCGGCTTCACTTTGCTCAGTTTCTTTTGCTGGTTCACTGGGCAGATTCACTCCACTCCCTGAGATCATTGTTTCTGGTGATGGGTTCTCATCGAAATACTGAAACACTGCGGCTTATTGCCACTTTGTCAGTCTTTGGGTGGAGGATTCTATATCCCTTACCTTGTTCACTATAGCCTATCAGAATACCTTCCATGGCTCTGTTTTCCAACTTGGATCACTTCTCATTAAGAATCTAGACGTAACCTTTACAGCCGAACAGTCTGATGTGCCCTAGGCTAGGCTTCGATCCATGCCACATTTCAAATGGAGTGCTTTCAATGACTTTTGAAGGTAGTCTGTTCTGTAGGCATGTTGCAGTCATGAATGCTTGTCCCCAGTACTTCTTAGGTAGGTTGGCGTCTGACGACATGCAGCTGGCCATTTCTAGAAGAGTGTGATTTTTCCGTTTTGCTACACCATTTTGTTAGGAGCGTATGGGGTGGTGGTCTGGTGTACTATACCTTGTTTCTTCAGATATGATTCCACTTCCTTACTGATGTATTCCACTCTGTTGTCGGTGTGTATAATTCCTGGTTTCCATTGGAATTTGTTGCTGGAAAGGACTACAAACTCGAAGTTTTTCGGATGTTTCATTCTTGTGCTTCATCAGATACGTTGTGTACCTGGAATCATCATGAATGAAAGTCAGTAGATATCTGTTCCTGTCTGATGTGGGAGTTTTAAGTGGTCCGCACACGCCGCTGTGTATGAGCTCAATGGGGTGGGTGGTTCTTCTTTGGGAGGTCTGTGGAAGTGGGGTACGTATGGCCTTTGCATGTCATGAGCATTTGGCAGGGCAGTACAGTTATATCTTCTGATAAGCCTCTCTTTATAATGTCTTTTATGGCTTCTGGGTTTCGGTGCCCTAGTCGTCTGTGCCATAGATAGATACATTTGTTGTGTGGATTATGAGTGGCTGTCTTGACTTGTTTGTCTGGGGTGATGAGTCTGTATACTGTAGGTGTTCATCCAATTTTCCTTTTGCAAGGATTTGCTTATTGTTTCGGATTGTACTTTCATCACCTCTGAAGTGAACTGCGATACTGTTATTAGCAATAGTGTTCACCGATAGAAGGCTTCCTTCTATGTCTGGAACATACAGTACATTTTTCACGAGGACACTCTGCTTGTCCCCTGACCGTGTGATGCAATTCAAGAATCCTTGACCTTTACCCTTTGCAGTGATACTTTTCCCGTTGCTAGGAAAACTGTGTCCTTTGCACTGAAATCAATTTCTGTGAAAAATGTCTCATCACACCTGAGTCAATACACCATCCGCGTGGTATACTGTTCTGAGTCACTTTATAGGTAGCACTCCATGATGTGCCTGCAGTTTCCTTTGTGACTGTTTTAGCTCTTTCACTTGTCAGTGTTTCTCACTTTCTCTGCTCAGCTTTCCAGATTGAACATTCCTTTTTCAGGTGACCAGTCTTTTTACAGCGAAAACACACTCTGCTCTCTTTGTTTTGCTTTGCTCTCTCATGCACCTTAAGGGCTTTCTCGTTTTCTTCATTGTGCATATTTTTTTTCCTTCTGTCATATTTATCGATTAATTTTCCTTTGGTGTATTCTAGTGTTAGTTCCTGCTCAGGTCTGGTTTCTAGAGCACTAATAAGAGCATTGAATGACTCTGGAAGGCTGCATAGCAATAATGCCACCACGTGGTTATCTTTAATATTCTCTCCAATTGCATGTAGTAGTTCTATGATTCTTAGCATGGCATTCACATGTTCATGCATTTTCTGGCCTTTTTCTAGCCTCATCTTATATAGCTTGTGTAGCAGATATAGTTTACGGTTTAGGTTTGAACGCTCATGCAGTTTCTGTAATGGCATCCACATACATTTAGCTGTATTTTCTTTTCTGAGCAGGATGAGCTGGTCATCTTCCACTAGCAGACTTATAATTGCTTTTGCTTGCTTTGCCTGTTCTTTTTGTCCCATTCCTCCACGGGTCCATTAGTAGGTCTGTCTGTACTCAGTACTTGCCACAAGCCGTCTTTGCTTAGCAGCATTTCAAGCTTGAACTTCCATAGCTAGTAATTGCTATTGTTGAGCTTTGCGATTGCAAACTTCATATCTGAACAGCTCACTATCTTTCAGCAGCTTGGATGCGGCTCTTGTTGCAGTGGTCTGTTCAGTGTCTAGGCCCATAACCTGTTGGTTATGCATTTAGATGAAGCACTGAGATCTTGAGGAATGCCGAATTAAGTTTTACTTGCTTATAAGGACATTAGATCTGTGTATACAGCATCAACAGGAAACATATAGATCATAGATCAACATGCATATAGAAAAACTATCAAACCAGCTTTGCACTACAGCGCCACCTAGTGCTCAAAAGACATAGTTACAGTAGATTAGCATATGCTGCTGCATTTCCAACACTATTTCGCCTTACGTTTAGATGCTTTAGGTCCAGGGTCCATATACCTACATCAAAATCTAGTAATGCATCCAGCTGGTTTTGAATAATTGGAAGAGTTTTCAACAGCTTTTCTGTTGCCATAGTTCTCATGACTCCATCTATCCTAAAACACAAAGGGAAACTGTTACTGAAACAAGCAATAGCTATGTAGACTGTAGCTGAGAATTAATTCAATGGTGTAAGTGACCTACCCTCTTTTCATTTTGGTAAAGTCCACAGCTACAAGTCTGTAGGAAAGTGCTTTTTCATTTAAATATCTGCTGTAGCGCCTTATGAAAGTGGACATGTCATAGCCTAGAAAATAATGTAAAAGAGGGAGAGGGAGAGGAAGAAGGAGAGAAAGGGGAATGGAGAGAGATAAATATTTATCTGTCAATTATTTGTCAAAGAAGACTGTACACATAATATACACACAAAATGAGGTGGGGGGGGGAACCCCAACAATCTACTTACCCTGCATAGCACCTTTATCTAGGAAATTGTTGAGGTTAAACAATGTGTTTCTGGATGCAAGGTACTGAATGAATCGCTGAAAAGAGCACAAACTGCAGTAAGTATACTGTACATTAACTGATCCTTTAGAAAGATCTTAAAAAAATAACCCACATTATGCAAACACAAGAGTGCATAACCTATAGTGTAATAAGCTGTATGCAGGCTGACATATCTACAAGACATTTTTTCTATATAGAGTTTAGGATCCAACTACACCAGGGGTGGGCAACCCTGGCCCTCCAGCTGTGCTTTAAAGTGACAATAAACTCAGGGGTTAAACCTTAAAAATGCATTCAAGTACCCTAACTATTAACAAAAAATTTAACTTATTTGTGTATCACTCATCTGTAGATCTTCAAATCATCTCTGAATTCATGTTGACACTGTCCTTGCTTCTGGAGGGTGTCTACTTTTGTTCTCCATGGTCCCCGTGTGTGTGTTGAAAAGTAGCCGCCGCTCCAAGATCACTCCCGTGAGTGACTACAATCCCAATACAAATGAGCAAACTAAACGTGAGATTGTATTCCTTCAAAAAGGAGTGAGCTTGGAGTGGTGGCTACTTTTCAACACACTCAGGGACCATGGGGAACGAAGTAGCCACTGCTCCAAGCTCCCTCCTGTGATGGACTAAAATCTGTTTACACAGTCACTAAAACAATTTATTGCAAAGTGCATATAATGACTGAGGCAATAGAGGGAAAGAGTACCTCAGAACCAGCACATCAGCATTTGTGTCACTGTGAAAATGCAAGAATGTGCAAAGTGCGTCACCCTGGGCTGATCTCCCTTCTAGGTGCCATGTCACCTAACATTATAGCACTATACCTACCTGTCATTCCAAGAACATTTATAAGTTGATCACATGGTCTAATGTTCTCCCCAATTTGTTTTTGAACTGTACTGTACAACAGGCAATATTAAGCCGTTTCCGTTACATAATAGATAGCCAAGTCAGAATTAGCTCTAGGGTGAACAAGTTTTCATCCGACTGAGGATATAAATCTACAGTTTAAGTATATATGCCCACATACTTTGGCTTAGAACCTACAAATCTGTATCATGGGACCACAGGCATATAACAGACATGGAATAAGAGCCATAGTAACTCAAAATGTGGTACTAAAACTATACTGTAGTTTTCCTATAGCATATCAGACAGACAGTCTACACTTCATTGGTGAAACTTGACTTGCTGCCTGCAAATATGCGACAATCAGAGCTGCATATTGAGAGATGTACCTTAGCATCCTGTCAAATAATTATAAAGGGGGGAATTAATCAAAACTGGGGCAGGCAGAATCTGGCACAGATGCCTTTGGCAACCAATTAACTAAACAGACTGAAAAGAGAAGCTAAGTTTTGAAAATGAAAGTTAGAAGTTGAATTGATTGCCATTGGCAACTGCTCCAGATTCTGTCTGCTTCCCTCAAAGTAGTACTTCTGCCCTATAGTCCAGTTTCATTTTGTTAAAGGTTATAAACAGAGACACCAAATTACAGGAAGAAGCTAGAGAAGATTTGACCCAGAAAGAAGAGTTGATACAGGGGTGTATTTATAAACCGTTCACACAGTAAACAGCTCTGTACAGGAGATTCACAGGACATGATAGCCACCAGATAGAACCCAGGAGCATAGAAATGTATGGCCTTTAGTGGTCATATCACAGATGCCAGAATAGAAATTGCAGCCTGGTGCCTGGGCTTTTGTCAGCCCTCCCCCTCGTCTCCCGTTGCGCTTGTGATGCAGTAATGGAGGGCTCCTTTAGACGCGTGTTCCCCGTTAGTGTCGCCCAGCTCGAGCAGCAGGTGAGTGAGCTGTGCACTGTGTAAAAGGGAGCTGCTCTGTGGTTTGGTCTCTGTGTATATATCGGAAAAAGGAGCAAACCCGTGTTTCCACTGGGCCAAGTGAGCCGGGCTCCGAGGACTGCCGTGTAAACCGGTCACAGGCTGCTCTCTCCCTGCCTTAGGTCCGCTCATTGGTGGAGGCCACAGCCTGCCCGGTGTGATTGGTCCAAGAACTAGTAAAGGAGCGGAGGGAGAGATGATGGGCCTGGGGATGAGGCACAGCGCCCTGTATAACTGCCCCAGGTCTCTGTTGTTTGTAGGTAGCAGCTGCAGTGTCAGAGGATGTTATCGGATCAGAGTGCCCTGCAGCATGATCTCTGTAGCGAAGTCTGTATGATCATCGTGCCACTGTATCAGAGGGGGGCAGACAAAACCTTGGGGCCTGATCTAAGAATTACTTAGTTCTCTTCTTACTGTATGTAACAAGAGGTGTTAGCTCAAACCTTAAACCCACTTTTCTGACCAGCAGTGCTACAATGACAAGCTGATTGGTTGCTATGGGAAACACAGTTTCCTGTCACAATTCCCAGTTCAAAGCAGCTTTAACCTTTGAAACAGAATGTCAACTGGTGCCCAGCAGGGGGGAGAGACTGCCTGTTAGCCACTGTGACTCTGGATTCCCCTCCGACCCTGCACCGCTGTAGTGTACCCCACCATGCAGTGCCCTAAGGAGCAGACCAGAAGGAGAACTTTTTCCTTCAGATCCCTCCTTTGTGATTGACAGCAGGCACTGGGCGGGTGCAATAGCCAGCGGAAACAGAAGTCAGGTGCACCTATGTACGAAAATGATGATTGCGCTACACGTCTGGTATCACTGCGGTACCGTGCGCCAAATAAAACTGTAATTGAAAATTACAACAGATGTTGAAAATAAAGCTTTGTTAGTTTAAAAAGAAAAAAAAGAAACTGGCTCCTAACTTTTTTAGCTGGCTCCTAGATTTAAAAGAAATCCGTCAAGGCCTGCCATAATGCACCTGGAGTCTGGTTCACAGAAGTCGTTCATAGTGTGAATGGTTTATAAAAACAATGTATAAGCACTATACTCCTTATCGATCTGCCCCTTGGATATGGGTGTGACTGTGGATGGCACCGCTTGAATCCAAACAGATGAGGTATGTCAACAGCACACCGCAATGAAAATGTTCAAAAGAATGTGTTTATTGATGCATGCTCATCATATCACAAAGAAGGCCTTTTTGACATGATGAGCATGCGTCAATAAACACATTCTTTTGAACATTTCACTCCGGTGTGCCGATGCCATACCTCATCTATTCGGTTTATAAATACACACCATCATGTCAGTCTACCTGTAGGCAGGTGCTAGGAAAGATGAGAACAGAAAACCTGAAAATGGATTTCCATATTTCTGTGCTAGCAGATCTGAAATAAAACCTTTGTAAAAGAAAAGAGTAAATCACAATATGGAAAGCTGCTACATGAACACATGGATGACTTGCTGAAATGAGTGGAGAGAATGTGGCAAACAGAATCTGGCATTTTCTTCTACAGCAGTTTGGGAAATAAATGCCAGGATATGACGGCCAGATTTCTTTTGTTTTAGCCTGAATTAACAAGTCCAACTTTAGTTAGTTGTACAAAATGTTTGATAATATTTCTTGGTCTTACCTCATTACCATACATCATAAGGTGATGCGTTGTGATGAGGGCTTTGAATACTACAACCCAGCTACCATTGGCAGTCCGTTCAAAGAGTGTATCAGCAAGCTGCGGTATATTAACGTTCATTTCGTTTGTGCACTGGATAAGATCTGAAGAAAAAAAGAAAAAATACTTTACTTTATAGGCACTATGGTTTCCTGTATATCATCAATGTTTTATATTAATAAAAATAAAAATTGGGTGTCAAAATATTAACATGGACCAATAATGCAAAATCTTGGAGAAACGTGTGCTTTTTCACTGCATGCAACGCCTTTTGCTTGTTGGAGTTGTGACATTTGCTCTCCCAACTATGGTCAATAGTGCTTTGATCCTTCTGTCACATTAGTGGGTAGGACTACAATACAGCAGAGTCTGGTACGATACAGCAGACTCTGATATGGTACGGTGCAGCAGAGCGAGTCTGATACCGTACGGTAGAGTTTGATATGGTACAGCAGAGTCCGATGCGGTGCGGTACAGCAGAGTCCGATGCGGTGCGGTACAGCAGAGTCCGATGCGGTGCGGTACAGCAGAGTCCGATGCATTGCGGTACAGCAGAGTCCGATGCATTGCGGTACAGCATGAAACAGCAGTGTCTGATCTGACTAAATCTGTACTGTCACAAAAGCATCCAAGAAACGTACTCTGAACAGACAGCAGTGTAAACCTCCTTTTCTAATAGAGCTGGCTAAATGAAACGTTTATTTTAAAATCAGAGGGATAGAAAAAAAACAATAAAATATTATATTTAAAATATAAATGATTGTTTGATAACAGTTTTAAAGTAGAAAGGAAATGACAAGCCAGGAATACAAGCAAAAATGCTTCTAGCAGTTAGCTTGTTTCCAAGTCATTTCCCTGTTTCAAATAGGAACAGATTTGTAAAATGTACCCATACTTGGAAAGAGGTTTTCAACATGTACTAAAAGTTTCGCAACAAGTAGTGAAAATGCAGAGAACAGCTGCAACAGATAACACTGAGGCACCAAAGTCACACAAAAACTGATGGCTGATTGCACATTATAATTGAAGTGGTTCACAGTGTATGGGGTGAACGGAGGATATGCAATAAAAAAAGACCCTGTATACTGGATTCAGAAAAAAAGGTATCAAGTATGAAGATGGCTGTACATGTATAGTATTTCAGCCTATTCAGCAGGAATTCAGTCTGTGGGAAACTCTTTTGGCTCCAATGCGGTCAACAGAAGTAAAATTTTTCAACCAACTTTGGTTGAGAACCTACTGTACGTATCTGTACCTACTGTGCGGATCCAACCAACTGATCAATAATGAGAAAACTATTCTCATTATCGATTATTCGATTAGTTGGTTGCAGCCCTAGCGCCAGCGGTAATTTTCAAGCAGCATTGGCTACCTGCTCCTGGGATTTGTCCATCCCCGATTTATTATCCAATTATATTCTCTTTCTTTCTATGATCAAGCAACAAACTACAGCAAGAATGAATATCAGTACTAATCATGAAGTCTAATACGAGAAGGTACAATTTAAAAGGTAGAGTCCACCTCTTACAGAAAAGTAGTACATGTAGAAGCAGTGTTTTCATGATCATTGCACATTTTACTACTTTTTGCAATGAAGCCTGCAAAGCATTGCACCTGTGATGAGTGGATGCAAACTTTTCCCCCAGCGCAGGTCTGTACGGAGTGGTGATGGAGGAGAGATTGCGGAGCACTTTCTACAAGTCCCATGTGGTATAATGGCAGATGGGACTTGTAGTAATGTTTGTAAACAATCCCGAGCCTGAATGATGGTGAGCAGAACCACCCCCAACTTTGCTAAATTTAACAAAAACCCAGAGGATTATCCTGTGAACATACACCCTGCTACAGTTTGGGGGTGGGTTTGGGGTTGGCGTTTAATACCATGTTCCATCCTAAATATGTGTGTAATATTATACATGGTACAAGCCAGGGACAAACTCCAGCCCTCCAGCTGTAGTCATACATCTGCCGTTAAGAGTCATGCCTGTGCAAATCTTGCAATGTCTCATGGGATTTGTAGTTTGTCCACCCCTGGTATAAACTGTAAACTTCACCTTTAAGAATATTAACAAATGTATTATTTTCCTTTAACTATGAGTCGTCAGCCTGACTTCACTTCCTCACTGCATGCACTACACCCCCATGGTAAAGGTCAGGATGAATGACAACATCCAAACTGGTTCTTAATATGCAAGTAGTTAAGCAAGACTACACGCAAACAAGTAAACCAAAAGAATTAAAAAAACGGTAACCCCCAGAAAATACAGAGGTCTATCTATTATTATTATTATTATTATTATAATACAGGATTTATATAAAATGTTTCATCCAAGATTCATTTAACTTTTACCCAAGTTTCACACGTTTCCAATTCAATACCATTAGCAAAAAAAAAAAAAAACACAACATTTAAATCCTGGGTGAAATAATAATAATAAAACCCTAGATTTACTTTATGGGAAAAATACAAAATCAAATAAATTTGGCATTTAAGGTGCCCATACACCTTACGACTATCGGACAAAACTTTTCGTTCGATGATCGAATAGTCGTAAGATTTTCGTACGGCAGCCATATCCTGCCCCGAAGATCGCAAGATTAATTTAGCCGTAATTAACGAAAAGCACCTGGACGAAATGCGGTAATTGATTTGCCGTATTTTCGTTAGCGCAAGCGCAGTGTAGATCGTACGACTTTTGACGGACGGAAACGTCAGCAACCTTACGAAAATCGCACGATCTAGCAACGTTTTCAAACATGCTTGACCGTCAAAAGTCGTACGATTGTACAGTAATGTCGGTCGGACACTGCAATGCACACATACGATTAATGGATGAAAAGTCGATCGCATACGAAAATCGTCCGATAATCGTAAGGTGTATGGGCACCTTTAGGCTACATTCACATGGGGCTTTAGGCTGCGGATGGGTAAGAACCTATGGAAGTGATGGCTAATGTTTTTGAGCCTGTGTGCCCAAAATCAATCTCAAAGTGCCAACACTTAAAATAAGTTTGGTATTGTGTTTTGGTTTGGGCACTGGGGTTTAAAAAAAAAAACAAAAACGTTTAGCATCACTGTCTTAGGGACACAAACATTTTATTTTTTCTTTATTTACTATTTTTTTTATCACTAGTTTGAGAAAAATGTTTTTTTACTTTTTAAAATGTTTATATTTTTTCCTTTATATCTTTTAATTTTTTTTAATTCTAATTATTTTTTCTTTTTCACTTATTTTTTTTATTTGTATTTATCTATTTATTTTCCTCTTTATTGAACCTGTCACTTCCAATACAGGAGTTTTAGCACTGTGCTGGCTCTCCAGTGACAGCTGAGATGGGAAGGCTGTGAGTGACTTGTACTAAAACCCCTTCCTCACTGTACGTTTAGCCTTGCTTCCCTGCAGCAGGGCTAAATGTAAAAAAGAAAAAAAAAACTGCCCGCCTAGCGCCCAGATCTACATGTCCCGGGCATTGAGCGATAGGAATTTGACACCCCTGCATGGGCTCACATGCCACCAGAGGGGCCTCTGTGTGCTCTGTGGCACACGTGCCTTAGGTTCACCATGGTTGACCTATGGATTCCTGTGCCAGAAATGCCAGGTGTCTGTACAGGTGAGAGCACTGTGCCAATTAAGTTAATGACAGGGTAACATCAGTGCCAATTCACATGTAATCGTATACAAGACAATGATCTATCCCAAATGGCAGGTAATCGCACCATTTGCAACTACATGTGGACTGCCGGTGACAGATATGTTCAATGTCACCCTGTCATTTAGACCTCATGCACACATTGAAAATACATGAGTTCAGGTGCATTTCGGGCTCATTTTTAAATCGCACCTGGACTCATGTAACGCTTTTCAATGAGTGAATGCACCTTGACATCCAAAAACATCTAGCTGCATTTAGGTACAAAAGCGCTGAGCAAACTGTTGGCGCTATATAAATCCTGTATAATATTAATTCAGTCTAGAAGTGTTTACCCAAACTAGAAATGTCTGTGTCCCAGGTACAGTCAGACCTGAACGCTACTAAGCCCAGCAACAACTAAAACACACAAAAAAAAGTGAAAAAAAAAAAAAGCAGTTTGGGAAGCATAAAGTTGTTTATAAAACTTTGCAGATAACGTCTCTTGTGCTTAAACGCGCAGCTAGTGTACATGACATCTAACTTGAACAGGCACAGCAGCCACATCTGTACAGACACACCTGGGATTCCATCCACAAGAATGCATAGGTTCTTGCCACAGGAATCCCCAGCCACACATAATAGCCCTTGGTGTATGTAGCCTTAAAAGGAGAACTATTAGGAGAGTAAACTGCACTCTTTTCAATGTTTGAGCCGGAATGGGACACTGCAGCCGTCACATCCGAGCTCTATAGATCGAGAACTGAGCGATCACAAATCACTGACTGCTCAGCTCATGGCTTCCACCTGCAGAGTGTGGTGATTGTCAGTCACTACCCCCTACAGGGATTTCCCCCTTCCCACTTTCTGTTCCTCCAGGTTTTTTTGTTAGGATGTTTACAGGATGCAGAGCAGCTCTGCGCTGTCAGCACTGCCCGCTATATGCTGACTTTGGGCCACAGGAGGACATTAGTAATTATACTCCTGTGACCCAAAAGAAAAACTATAGCCAAACACATGGTTTGACCATAGTTAAACTCGCGCACGTACACATTAGTTTATTGCTTTTTCATTTAGTACATAGACCATTGTTATTATATGAAAAAAAACAAATGTTAGCATTTCCTTACACCACTGAACACAACTGTCCTTAGAATAGAATGCATTTTATACTGATCAATACAAAAATCCACACATTGAATACTGCAGAAGAGACGCCTGCCCAATGCTATCTACAAGATCTGTGCTATTAGACAGGTAACCTTTGTTAGCATATTATTATCCAGCTTCAGGATGGTCACTTTAGCCATTAATAAACACTTAAGATATTTTTCTTACATATGCATTCATGTCATAGTGAATTCACTTGCTCTCAGCGATTTTTTTTTAACCTAGCCTTGTTATTGAACTAGGTCGAGGACCCTGGGTGGCTTTGTACAAATAAATGATAAAAACAAAGTCCACTCAACACTGT